TTAATGATAAATCATTACATACAAAATAAAAATTCTGAGAAAAGACAGCCTACATTAATAAGTATATTTATACTTATTGCAATTAAAGTAATTTAGCTTCCAATAATTAATACACTAATACAGCATTTTAAAATGTCARTATATGTTTAAAATCTAATAACATACCTAAAAGTTTCACGTAAAAATGAAAAATATTTTTAAATTACAGAAAAATAACTAAAGTTGTTATTGTTTATTAAATATTGAATTTTATGAATTTTAACTTAAAATGACAACAGAAAAAATTAATACATTTTTTTTTTTTGGTTTAATAGTAGTATAGAATAATTATGAGAAACCTTGTATTTTCCATAAGCCATTGTAACTTTCAAAATGAGTTCAAACAAAATTGTTCTGGTTTATATATTTTTTTTTTTAGAGAGAGGAACCATGTAAACCCTTTATTTCAAAAAGAGACGCCGCGATCAAAAAAGGTTTGAGAACCGCTATAGGTATTAGAGCATAAATACTTATGACTTTTTATTCATATAATTCATTTAATCTGCTCATGTGCTATATAACTTTGTTCTGTTTAAATTGTTGACAACTATTTCAGATTGTTTACATTTTAAAATAAGCTAATGTAATAACTAAGGTTTGGAAGTTATAGGAGTTCCAGATTCTTCTGAATGCTCTTGATTTATAGCAGATCAAGCTAGAAATTCAAGCTACACAATGTTGAGTTTAAAATTAAAAATTATAAATGCATATTTAATGTTTTCTAAAAAAAATTATTTTTATCTTTCTTTAACTATGTATTACAAATAATTTTAAATAATAATATAATAATGTATAAATTATAAAATGGTTCAATGCAACACTTAACAGGTATTTAATATATATACATAGGTATTTGTAATTAACTTCACAAATGATGAAAAAATATTATTTTTTACTATTTTTTTAGTTCAATAAAATATCAAGTGCCAACCGGTTAAGTATGGTATTTTAGTTTTTAATAATATAATTCTTTTTGTGTATTAATAAATAATAATTAATAAGTAATAATGTCATTATATGTTTTATATTAATGAACATTGATTAATGTTTTGTATATGTATATTGTATAGACATTTTTTTGCATATATCACATTTTTTTGTGCATGTTTTGCCTATTTTAGCTCCTATAATTTCCGAACCCTAGTAATAACTTATATTTTAAATCAAAATTGACTGAATGAGAGCTATTTAAATTCTAAAATAATTAATTAACATGTATTTTTAGTTCTTGGCAGCATGAATAAATACTTCAACCATAAAAGCTAATAGACGTGGCGATGGTGTGCAGATAATATATTGACGTCAAACTTTGTGTATGGTGTGACGTTACGTTTGAGCCATACCATCGACTGACTATTTTTTCATAGTCATGGAACATAGAAAACGCTATTGCAATCATTTGACACTCATTATTTAAATTATCTGCATAATATTTCTATTAATTCCAATAGTATTGACATATTGTTTATTATGAATAGTAATATAGTAATATAGTATTTTAGTATAAATATTATAATATAGTTGGTGGCATGCTAACCCATTATCCTCATAAATAATACCTAAATGATCTGGCTTAGGTTCTGTCTGTTCTCACTTCTTTTATAGGTATAACGGATAATTAATTATTTAGTTATTGGTTAAAATGTTAATTAAATTATATTATACTCCGGCCCACGAGAGATCAGTACCGTCACGCGCACGCTGAGAACAACCGTAATCGTGGCGCACTACACAGGGGCTGCGCAGAATTCRACGATTTTTGGTCGAATAGCGGTACTGATCTCTCGTGGGCCAGAGTATAGACTATATATATACATATAAACCTAATATATTTATAACAGGTAATATAATTTCTAGTTCTCACATGCACTAAAAATCATAAATAAGTTCTATAATATCTACCTCTAAAATAATTAATATTTTTAATCGTACCTCCACAAAAATCTTGTACCTAGCAGTTAAGCACTTACTACATTATATGATCACTGGTTAACCAGTAAATAATACGAGAAATRCAATTATATACAAATCCAAACCATCCAATAAAATAATTTTAAATTTATTTAAAATCATTGTCAATAAAATTAAAACACAACATTTTTTTATACATACATATATTAATATATTATTATTATATTTAGTTAAATACCTAATTAACATTATATAATAATGAATAGTTAATTAGTTTTGTGAATTATAGTGATTACTACCTCATTGATTGGGAAATAAAATCTATTTGGTTAGTTCACTGTGAACACGTTTATAATTTCATAAATCATAGATGGAATTTGCTTTAATATGAAAAAATCTTAATTTTAAATATTTCACAATTATAATTTTGACTAAACATAATACATTATTTCCATGAGCATCCTCATCAAACATATGGTAATTTAAACATTTGAAAACCGATTTATTCATATTTTGTAAACATTTTATCACTAATATTTCAATTATATTTTCCTTGTTTAAATTATTTGTTTCTTCAATTATTCTTAATTCTGATTCAGCTAATTCACACAAATAAATAACATCAGGTGAAGCATTTATGAGTCTACTTTGTGGGTTTGAAGAATATTGTTTCAGTCACAAGTTGAGATATATGATCAGTAGAAGTTAAAATGCAAATAGAAAAATTGCATTTAACAACTTTTTTTAATTCATTTTTACAAATTTAGATAATATATTTAATAACATCTACATCATTAAGCGATTGTTTCAAACTCTTAAAGCTTATAATATGCATAATCATTTAAATAAATCTGATTTTAAAAATATTGTTTTCATCCGGTAGATTAGCATCTAAAGATTAGATTTTTTTATAATATATACTTACAATCTACTTATAATTTATATAT